CCCCCTGATAGTTCGATTCGAATAGATCTATTCCAATTCACGTTGAATATATACGTTGTGTATATATATATATATATATATTATATATATATATATATATATATATATATATATATATATATATATATATTATATATATATATATCCCAAATATGTTTTGTTTTACAGCCTTCCCAAGTGCAGTAGCCCGTATATATATATATATATATATATATATATATATATATAATATATATATATATATATATATACATATATATATATATTATATATATATATATATATATATATATATATATATATATATATATGCGAAGAAGCCTGAATGGTCCCCAGGACTATATGCGAATGAAAACTCACACCCCAGAAGTGACTCGAACCCATACTCCCAGAAGCAACGCAACTGGTAACTACAGGGCGCCTTAATCCGCTTGACCATCACGGCCGTCAAAAGGAAGTGATGGCAACTCGGGGATTATATATGTACATATATATATATATATATATATATATATATATATATATATATATATATATATATATATATATATATATATATAATATATATGTATATATATATATATATATATATATATATATATATATATATATATATATATATATAATATATATGTATATATATATATATATAATATATATATATATATATATATATATATATATATATATATATATATATATATATATATATATATATATATATATATATATATATATATATATATATATATATTAGTATATTTTGGTAGCAGTCTTTCCTGTAGACATATATTATTAAATATGACCGAAAAAGTAAGATTAATAATTCTAACACGAATTTTCTCAATCTTTCGTACATTACGCTTCACTGTTGGAGGTAAATCAAAAATCAATTCTCCAAAATTCATTTTTATTTCTAGTCTGACGCGACACGGGCGCGTTTCGTAAAACTTATTACATTTTCAAAGACTTTAGTTCACAAATACACAACTGAATAGAACTTACGTATCTCCGATTTTATATCTACATTTGAGTGAGGTGGAAGGGGTGATGTGGCATTAACACAAGACAGAACAAAGTGTGGTATTAATAGGGTATTAATTTCATCAACACAAGACAGAACAAGAGTATTAATAGGGTATTAATTTCATCAACACAAGACAGAACACGAAACAATGGATATTGAATAGAAGTGTTTGTAGAAAGCCTATTGGTCCATATTTCTTGATGCTTCTATATTGGAGCGGAGTCTTGAGGTGGGTAGAATATAGTTGTGCAATAATTGGCTGTTGATTGCTGGTGTTGACTTCTTGATGTGTAGTGCCTCGCAAACGTCAAGCCGCCTGCTATCGCTGTATCTATCGATGATTTCTGTGTTGTTTACTAGGATTTCTCTGGCGATGGTTTGGTTGTGGGAAGAGATTATATGTTCCTTAATGGAGCCCTGTTGCTTATGCATCGTTAAACGCCTAGAAAGAGATGTTGTTGTCTTGCCTATATACTGGTTTTTTTGGAGCTTACAGTCCCCAAGTGGGCATTTGAAGGCATAGACGACGTTAGTCTCTTTTAAAGCGTTCTGTTTGTGTCTGGAGAGTTTCTCATGAGTAGGCTGGCCGTTTTTCTGGTTTTATAGTAAATCGTCAGTTGTATCCTCTGATTTTTGTCTGTAGGGATAACGTTTCTATTAACAATATCTTTCAGGACCCTTTCCTCCGTTTTATGAGCTGTGGAAAAGAAGTTCCTGTAAAATAGTCTAATAGGGGGTATAGGTGTTGTGTTAGTTGTCTCTTCAGAGGTTGCATGGCTTTTCACTTTCCTTCTTATGATGTCTTCGACGAAACCATTGGAGAAGCCGTTATTGACTAGGACCTGCCTTACCCTACAGAGTTCTTCGTCGACTTGCTTCCATTCTGAGCTGTGGCTGAGAGCACGGTCGACATATGCGTTAACAACACTCCTCTTGTACCTGTCTGGGCAGTCGCTGTTGGCATTTAGGCACATTCCTATGTTTGTTTCCTTAGTGTAGACTGCAGTGTGGAAACCTCCGCCCTTTTCCATGACTGTTACATCTAGAAAGGGCAGCTTCCCATCCTTTTCCATCTCGTAAGTGAAACGCAGCACGGAACTCTGCTCAAATGCCTCCTTCAGCTCCTGCAAATGTCTGACATCAGGTACCTGTGTAAAAATGTCGTCAACATACCTGCAGTATATGGCCGGTTTCAAGTGCTCTCAGCCACAGCTCAGAATGGAAGCAAGTCGACGAAGAACTCTGTAGGGTAAGGCAGGTCCTAGTCAATAACGGCTTCTCCAATGGTTTCGTCGAAGACATCATAAGAAGGAAAGTGAAAAGCCATGCAACCTCTGAAGAGACAACTAACACAACACCTATACCCCCTATTAGACTATTTTACAGGAACTTCTTTTCCACAGCTCATAAAACGGAGGAAAGGGTCCTGAAAGATATTGTTAATAGAAACGTTATCCCTACAGACAAAAATCAGAGGATACAACTGACGATTTACTATAAAACCAGAAAAACGGCCAGCCTACTCATGAGAAACTCTCCAGACACAAAACAGAACGCTTTAAAAGAGACTAACGTCGTCTATGCCTTCAAATGCCCACTTGGGGACTGTAAGCTCCAAAAAACCCAGTATATAGGCAAGACAACAACATCTCTTTCTAGGCGTTTAACGATGCATAAGCAACAGGGCTCCATTAAGGAACATATAATCTCTTCCCACAACCAAACCATCGCCAGAGAAATCCTAGTAAACAACACAGAAATCATCGATAGATACAGTGATAGCAGGCGGCTTGACGTTTGCGAGGCACTACACATCAAGAAGTCAACACCAGCAATCAACAGCCAATTATTGCACAACTATATTCTACCCATCTCAAGACTCCGCTCCAATATAGAAGCATCAAGAAATATGGACCAATAGGCTTTCTACAAACACTTCTATTCAATATCCATTGTTTCGTGTTCTGTCTTGTGTTGATGAAATTAATACCCTATTAATACTCTTGTTCTGTCTTGTGTTGATGAAATTAATACCCTATTAATACCACACTTTGTTCTGTCTTGTGTTAATGCCACATCACCCCTTCCACCTCACTCAAATGTAGATATAAAATCGGAGATACGTAAGTTCTATTCAGTTGTGTATTTGTGAACTAAAGTCTTTGAAAATGTAATAAGTTTTACGAAACGCGCCCGTGTCGCGTCAGACTAGAAATAAAAATGAATTTTGGAGAATTGATTTTTGATTTACCTCCAACAGTGAAGCGTAATGTACGAAAGATTGAGAAAATTCGTGTTAGAATTATTAATCTTACTTTTTCGGTCATATTTAATAATATATGTCTACAGGAAAGACTGCTACCAAAATATACTAATATATATATATATGTATATATATAAATATATGTATTTATATATATATTTATATACATATATATTTATATACATATATATTTATATACATATATATTTATATACATATATATATATATATATATATATATATATATATATATATATATATATATAACTACAGTTATTCGAACAATTATAATTGTCATTCATTTCGAGTCAAATAGTTTGTGTATGCTGGTTCAGCTTTGATATCCTCTCTCTGACACTGCATTCACGATTTTTCTTTGACGTATATGGCAGCTATCATCATATTTTGGAAAATATTTTCGTAGTCATCTATATATGGATTCCGATAATTTGCAATAATTCTCGGGAATTTTATATTATTCTTTGAGATACATAGCTGGCTAATGCCTGTAATTATAGTGAACTACCACCATGCTAAGGGAATGGTTATTATTCTTGGGAATTATTGTCTTTTGTAGATAATTATCAGAAAAACTAGGGGATATATATATACCATTATTTTTGTGCAAGTTTCCTCGTATATGGAAAACTTAATTTCATGAAACAAATTAAGCGCCCACAATTAAAAAAGATCCCATGGACACCTAACTGATATCCAACTAAGACTTTAAAAGCTTAGCTTAAGGTTAAAAAAGACTTAAAAGCTTAAAAAAAAACTCCCACCCATGTCCCGCGAAAGGAAGGGAATTATCACGGAGAAGCGCCAAGCCATTACGTCTAAATAGCAATGGGAATGGGGTCAGGATTAGGATTTGGGATGGGACGAGGGAGGAGAGAGAGAGAGAGAGAGAATGCTTCCCAACCACTTGAACAGTCGGGGATTGAACCTGCATGAAGCGAGTATAATATTGCTTCCTACTCTCACCCATCTCCCCCAAAGATAACAGTGCTTCCTACTCTCACTCATCTCCCCCCAAAGATAAGTGCTTCCTACTCTCACCCATCTCCCCCAAAAGATAACAGTGCTTCCAACTCTCACCCATCTCCCCCAAAGATAACAGTGCTTCCTACTCTCACCCATCTCCCCCGAAGATAACAGTGCTTCCTACTCTCACCCATCTCCCCCAAAAGATAACAGTGCTTCTTACTCTCACCCATCTCCCCCAAAAGATAACAGTGCTTCTTACTCTCACCCATCTCCCCCCAAAGATAACAGTGCTTCTTACTCTCACCCATCTCCCCCCCAAAGATAACAGTGCTTCTTACTCTCACCCATCTCCCCCCAAAGATAACAGTGCTTCCTACTCTCACCCATCTCCCCCAAAGATAATTGTGCTTCCTACTCTCACCCATTTCCCCCGAAGATAACAGTTCTTCCTACTCTCACCCATCTCCTCCAAAGATAACAGTGCTTCCTACTCTCACCCATCTCCCCCCAAAGATAACAGTGCTTCCTACTCTCACCCATCTCCCCCCAAAAGATAACAGTGCTTCTTACTCTCACCCATCTCCCCCCAAAGATAACAGTGCTTCCTACTCTCACCCATCTCTCAATCCTCATCCCCTCTTGTCTCTCCCTCTCTCTCACACACACAGGATCGACCGCTTCACCGCGCCAACATCGTCGAGAGTAAGCCCACTCTGACACTTCTGCAACTCAACTACAGGGACGCCGGCCTGTACACCTGCCTGGCCTCCAACTCTGAGGGCGACGGTCAGAGCAACGCGGTCGCTCTCCATATAGACTGTGAGGCTCGTGTGTGTTGTTCAGTTGAGGGGGAGGGCGAGTCTCTTATTTTAGGATGTATGAGGCTATTGTAGGATGTATTGAGGCTGTTGTGGGGTTGTATGAGGTTGTTGTGGGATGGATGAGGCTATTGTGGGATGTATGAGGCTGTTGTGGGACGTATGAGGCTATTGTAGGATGTATTGAGGATGTTGTGGGATGTATGAGGCTATTTTAGGATGTTTGAGGTTATTGTGGGATGTATGAGGCTATTGTAGGATGTATGAGGCAATTGTAGGATGTATGAGGATATTGTAGGATGTATGAGGATATCGTAGGATGTATGAGGCTATTGTAGGATGTATTGAGGCTGTTGTGGGGTGTATGAGGCTATTGTAGGATGTATGAGGCAGTTGTAGGACGTATGAGGATATTGTAGGATGTATGAGGCTATTGTAGGATGTATGAGGCTATTGTAGGATATTTGAGGCTATTTGTAGGATGTATGAAGCTATTGTAGGATATATGAAGCATTTGTATGATGTATGAGGCTATTGTAGGATGTTTGAGGCTATTGCAGGATGTATGAGGCTGTTTGAGAATATGAGAGGTATTTTAGGGGTGAATGAGGTAATTAGCTTATTATATTTAATTATCTACAGCCTATGAATGAAGATGAAGAACGGGTTTATTTTCATTGTATGATGGGTAGAAAATAGGTCAGATGTTTTATTTTTGCATTCTCTACTGGGAAGATAATAGATAGCATAGTTCGTTTTCAGTCCATCCTAGGTAATAGATGCTGATATTATTTTCTATATATCAGGTTTGGCTGCGTTTCCTTGCACCTGATGCACCTGTTTACCTTGCAGGACATAGTCACCTAGGAGTTAGGCAGCTGTTGTGGGTTGTATTCGATGGTCTCGATAATTCGAACAGGCTTTCTCTAACAATGGAAATAAATTATTTTAATTTATTAGTTATTTTTTTTGTAATTCAAAGTTTATGGCATATTAATGGTTTATTTCGTCGCTCTCTTTGCTACATCAGTTTTTTTTATAGCATTCAAGCAAAAAAAAATTGATTTTCATATAGCAGGAATTTTGAATACATAGTTTTTCATAATGAAATAGAATAGAATAATATTCATAGAATACATAGTAAAATACACATATCTTTTAGTCTTAGATTTACTAAAAGATGTCTTCTATCTAGTGTTTTTGTATAGTAACTCTTAGGTTAATAACTAGATTTAAGGCTATCAACCCTCCGCCTCCTTCCTCTCACACACCATTAACAAGATCCAAGAGCTTATTAACTGACACCACCGTAAGATCTAAGAGTTCCACTCTCGCATCACTAACAAGGTCTAATGAGAGCTTCTTCCCCACACACCGTTAACACGGTTTAAGAGCTCCTCCTTCACTCCTCTAGCAAGAGCTAAGAGCTCTCTTGAATCACTAAAGTGATCTCAGAGCTCTCTTGCATCACTAAAGAGATCTAAGAGCTCTCCCTCACATCACTAAAGAGATATAAGAGCTCTCCCTCACATCACTAAAGAGATATAAGAGCTCTTCCTCACGATACTAAAGAGCTTTAAAAGAGCCTTCTTTCACAGCTCTCAAGCTTTGACTCATTAAACTAAAATAAATCCTCCACAAGCCTTCATTCGCATTATTAAGAGAATGAAAATATTTTATCTGAAGACTTTACTCTCTAGTAACTGTTTTCACTCTCTTAGTAACTGTGTTCACTCTCCTAGTAACTGTGTTCACTCTCCTAGTAACTGTTTTCACTCTCCAGGTGACTGTTTTCACTCTCCTAGTAACTGTGTTCACTCTCCTAGTAACTGTGTTCACTCTCCTAGTAACTGTGTTCACTCTCCTAGTAACTGTGTTCACTCTCCTAGTAACTGTGTTCACTCTCCTAGTAGGTGTGTTCACTCTCCTAGTAACTGTGTTCACTCTCCTAGTAACTGTGTTCACTCTCCTAGTGGCTGCACTCACTCTTATACTCTCATACTGAGATTTTTAAACATAAACACACAGTTCAATGAACCCCGTAAGCAAATTACATTTTCCCCTGGGAGATGAAATTTATTAACACCTGGTTGTAACTCTGTCCAATTTTTTCCCCCCTGGGAGCAGACGCCCCCGTGTGCGAGTGGGAGGGAGCCAGGGAGGTGTTGGCCTCCGTGGGAGAGAAGGTAGAGATGGAGTGTCTCATCAGAGCTTCTCCTGCACAAGTCTCCTATACCTGGGAAAGTGTGACCTTCACTCCAAACATGGAACAGGTAAGGTTTTTGGCTGCTCCGGACTTTGGTTTGGAGAGAGAGAGAGTGGGAGAGAGAGTGACTGAATGATGTAATTACCTGCTTAATTGCTTAATTACTTCGAGTTGTTTTTTTTTTTGTGGGGGAGGAGGTTAAAGAGGGGTCGGTTGCAGGGGGTTACTTTTGGATTGGCATGATATTGGGGTTAAGGTTTGAGGAGATAGCAATGGATTGGACCAGCGGTGAGACAGATAGCAAAGGTGGTGAAGATGGCATCATCACCTTGCTATCAGAGAACATGATATCAGTTATCCAGAGACAGTGATGATATTGATTAACAGCGATATTGATGACGACACCAGTAACGACGAGGCGCCATTCACGGTTCATAACTCTCTCTCCTCCTCCTCCTCCCATAGATACGGTCGCCGCTGCACCACCAGGACTCTGGGCTGACGTCTCTGGGTTGGGCAGTAGCTGACAACAGCAGCAGCGGGGCTCAAAGAGCCGAATGTCAGCCCAGTAACGAGGTGGGGCCTGCTGACCGCCCCTGTGTCTTCACCATCCTGCTTGTGGGTATGTTTCCACCATCCCAGTTCATCCTGGAATTGTATATACATCTTTGTTTACATTCAGCACAGCTGTTCCTTAGCTTTAGATATCTCGGGAATTTGGGATATATGTGTGTGTATTGAACTTACCTTGTGGAGAATATAGCTAGGTACAGGTAGATAGTCCATTATATTAGGGTAGATCATGCATTATACATATTTGTGGGTAGATAACCCATTATATATAAAGGTAGATAATCCATATTATAAGGGTAGATAATCCATATTATAAGGGTAGATAACCCATTATGAAAGAGATACTCCGAGCAGTAGAATACATAATCCGTGTTGGAATAGCAGATAATCCATGATGTAGGCTGTAGATAAAGCATTATGTAAGGGGTAGATAATCACGTTGTAGGGGTAGATAACCCGTGATAAGGGGTTGTGGGGGTTATCTTGAGATCTTGAGGTTATCTTGAGATGATTTCGGGGCTTTAGTGTCCCCGCGGCCCGGTCCTCGACCAGGCCTCCACCCCCAGGAAGTGACAGCTGACTAGCTCCCAGGTACCTATTTACTGCTAGGTAACAGGGGCATTCAGGGTGAAAGAAACTTTGCCCATTTGTTTCTGCCTCGTGCGGGAATCGAACTCGCGCCACAGAATTACGAATCCTGCGCGCTATCCACCAAGCTACGAGGCCCCCCTCGTAGGTTGTGAAAGGAGTTGAAATTAAATAGTGAGACATGATAGTCCAGGGATGAATATAGATAGCAAAGAGGCCCACAAGAGCAATTAAACTACGTCTGTCCTCATTGCTAGGCCTACAGCTGTTATCATTGCTAGGCCTACTTCTGTTATCATTGCTAGGCCTACGTCTGTTATCATTGCTAGGCCTACTTCTGTTATCATTGCTAGGCCTACTACTGTTATCATTGCTAGGCCTACTTCTGTTATCATTGCTAGGCCTACTTCTGTTATCATTGCTAGGCCTACAGCTGTTATCATTGCTAGGCCTACTTCTGTTATCATTGCTAGGCCTACTTCTGTTATCATTGCTAGGCCTACTTCTGTTATCATTGCTAGGCCTACTTCTGTTATCATTGCTAGGCCTACTACTGTTATCTACTTCGAATATACACAATTCCGAAAGCATCCTACTTGGAACAGGAATAATGGTTTTTTAAGTTGTAAATTAATCTCCCAATATGAGTTAATTCTCTCTCCTTATTCAACTTGTCTACTTTCTCTTATTCACTATTCATCACATGCTCCTTCCCTTTCACCACCCATCATGTCCACCTTCCCTTTGAATTTTCTAGTCCAGTCTCGACTTCAGTACGTATACGACCACCAACTTTCATTTCAGTTCACGTCTTGGAAAGTCTAACAAAGTTGGCCTTAAGTTTTGCCCGGGTGAAGACTGACTCGCTCTGAACACCAATAGCAATGGAGATACATGATACACATACACATGTATAGCACACATACACATACAGTAACTTATATACTGACATAAATACCCATTCGTACACTAATTGAAGACCAAGTGTGTACAAACTTGCAGACCCTTGTATTTATACATACAAGTCCTCGTATACACACACACACACACACACACACACACACACACACACACACACACACACACACACACACACACACACACACACACACAGGCCCTTGTACACACAGAAAGATCCTTACACACACACACTCACACACACACACACACACACATACACACACACACACACACACACACACACACACACACACACACACACACACACACACACACACACACACACACACACACACACACACACACACACACATACACATACACACAGGCACTTGTACACATACATACAAGCCCTTGTACACACACACATTGTACGAATGTTGATTGACAGTTGAGAGGCAAGAGACCATCGTAGGAGACCCTTCTACGATCGTCAGTGCGTATGATTACACAGTGATCATACCCTGTGATCATACCGTGTGATCATACACAGTGATCATACCCTGTGATCATACCGTGTGATCATACCGTGTGTATGGCATGTTATCACACAAACTGACGATTGTAGGAAGCTTCGTATACTTGAGGCTGTGCTCATTCGGGAGCTGACACCAGTAATCAACACCCAGATGAATTCGGTTCCGAGCATACAACTGTTCGATGGTCCTCTACTGACCCAGAGGGAAGACGTAAGACCTGGCGGACAGCTAGAAGCCGGAGACAGACAACAGCCACCTCACCCAACCCTTCGTTTCTCCCTACGATTAAGAGTGTTAGGTGAATCGTAGAGTGAAGTGTACCCACACTTATAAATGTCTACATCTCTCCTTGTAAGATTTACGGATGCAACTGAGAATTTATCGAACCCAGAGAGTGGGAATGCGCCTTCTGCCAAACAAGCACAGAAAAGCCACTACTTCACTATCTCCTGGAATGTGAAGCAACCAACGACCTTAGAAGAGCTTTAGGAGTCCCTGAATCTTGCAGTAACTACCCTGATGCCATCAACATTGCCAGTCTTCTGGTAATGAAAAGTGTCCAGCAGCTGGAGACCCTCGTAAATACCGTCAAGCAGTATCCTCCCCCGCAATAGCAGCCACGTAGTAAGGACTGACTATTTAAATGCGAGTACAGCACGCAGTATATCCTTTCACAATGAAAGATCACATTCACTCCAAAAAGAAACTACCACTTACGGGCTATTCATGCCCATGCCACCTGTTGGGTGGCTTAATCTTCATCAATCAATCAATCTTGTAACCTCAGTATAGCTGTCAGTTCAACAGTGTACTCCTGAAGATGTCACTTAGCTGACGAAACGTCGAACAATAAAAATGGAATGATTAAGTGATCTAGTGTTTCTTCACACTCCAGATGGAAGAAGAAATTCGCTTAGACTTTGAAATATCCAAAAGAAAATTAATAATAGTCGCAATTCTATTGTGTTTAATGAACAGAGAAAGGTACCCAGGGACACCTAACCGCTGCCCAGATGGGAATATCGTATATCTGTGGCTACCACTCAAGCAGAGGATCCCTTCTCCACACGGGAGACATCTCCCGTCACGCAGGGTGCAGTCGCACCTCCACAGATCTCCAGTATCAGCTCTTGATACTGGTAATGGCTCAAAAGGGCCACCACTTACGGGCTATTCATGCCCGTGCCACCTTTTGGGTGGCTTAATCTTTATCAATCAATCAAGCAGAGGAAGAGTAGGAATACCACGCCCTAAGTCGTGTAAACTGTATACCACGCTACCTGTGGGTGTAATATTTCCTTCATGTCTATGTAACATACAGGCGCTATGCCTCCCACGTCAGAGGACAGGCGTTCGCGGCTCCTAATGCCCATTAATGCATGTAATGCTACACCCACGGTAATGTGGTATACATGATAGATATAGATAGATAAATTGACAGGTTAGGTTAGGTGTGTGTTATACGTTGTGCAAATAATACCTCATAACTTTGGAATACTAATATCAAAAACCACTTATCATGCGTGATAAGTGCACTTATCATGCACTTATGAATTTTCCGTCCTCTTGAATAAATTAACAGTTGGTCTGTGGAATGTACAGCAACAGGAAGGGAGATGGAGGCACTCAACCAGTCATAGCAGTTACGCAATGATTATACCACTTTCCTGTGTCTAACACAGTCGTTTCAGGCGGACTTAAATGACTCATTCGTTATCCCTGGCTTCACGCGCGTACACGAACGATACGCATGGAGAACAATAGGTGGATACACGAAACTTGGAAAGTTTAGACGTTTCGTGATTCGATAAGATTCACCTCTTCATCAATTCCTCCATATGCAGGCGGTAAGTCTTAGTGACGGGGCTGAAGATATGATGATCAAATCGATAAGATCACACACGACTTGATAATGATCCAAGACGGACCGAAACGACGTCGTTTCTCCATCTTAAGATGGGTGGTTTGGTCATCAGACAACCCGTCCTCACACTTGGCTGTTTAAAGCAGCGGCCGTCCTCCGCAGACGTTTTCAATAATTAAGATATTAATTTATTTATTAAATAATTTAATATGTATTACATAATTTAACACAATATTAACATATTGTGTTAAAACATTGGTTTGTTCTCAAATATAAATTAACATTATTATACAAATTCTATGTATAGTTATGCGTAGGTTAGGTTAGGTGTTTGGGTACTGTTGGCGATTATTTGTATTTGTAGTACGTGGGTGAAGCATTTACAGCGTTGTGGTTCGAACAGAATTCGTCAGTGAAGCACTTGTTCCGGAAGTGTTCGGGCGCCATCAGTTGTGACAGCCCGTCCTCCAAACAAAGATCCAAAAGTGATTCCATGCACCCGCCAAACCCCCTGTTTATGAATGAAAAGCGGTTTACACACGACTCACAACTGCTGACGTTCGAACATATCCGGAACAAGTGCTTCACTGACGAATTTTGTTCGAATCGCAACGCTATAAATGCTTCACCCACATACTACAAATACAAATAATCGCCAACAGAACCTAAACACCTGACCTAACCTATCCTATGCCTATATATACACAATATGCCAATATATTATAATATTAATTTATACTTGAGAAAATTCCCGTTTTGAATGAACAGCATGTTAAAATTTATGAATGCGTCTGTGGGGTCGACCGCTGAATGTAATGGACTTGAGTCGAGGACGGGTTGGTTGTGAGTCGTGTGTAAACCACTTTTCATTCATAAACATGGGGTTTGGCAGCTGGATTAACGAGTTTGGCTCTTTGTATGCGAGGACGAGCTGCATCATACCCCCATTATACCGTCTCCCTCAGCGGTTATTGGACGTGTGAAGGGCGCTACAAGCAGTCTCAGTAACTTGTTATCACAACATTTTGTAATGTTTACTTTTTGTTACAACAACAGTGTATTTGCTTGGTCTTGGACATGCCCAACTACCAGGTGTATAGATACCCGTGGGTAGTTGGGTATACAACAGGTATACCTGTTGTATACCCAGTCACATATTTGTTATACATATTTGAGAATGCTGTGGATGCTTGAAAAAAAAATACTTACGGATGAATATATATCCTTAGGTAATTGATAACACTAACGAATGTTAACAATCTAGCATTCATCATTGGTACATTCACATGATTGATGAAGGTTAAGCCACCCAAGTAGTGGCACGGGCATGAATAGCCCGTAAGTGGTAGATTTTTTAGAGTGAATTGTTCACTCGAATTGTTCACAGTTCCGGAATTGTTCAGACGTCATCAGTTGTTAGTCGTATGAAACCGCTTTTCATTCATAAACAGGGGGTTTGGCGGCTGGATTAACGAGCTTGAATCTTTGTATGTGAGAACGGGCTGAGCGGATAGTGCTCGGGAGTCGCTTTCCTAAGGACACGGCTTCGATTTTTGTCCGAGGCAGAAGTAGATCGGCAGAGCTTTTTTTTTTATACCTGATGTCTCTTTTCACCTAGCAGTAAATAGGTACCTGAGAGTTAGTTACTACGGGCAACATCCAGGGTATGTATGTGTGAGAGAGAGAGTGTGTGTGTAGTGTTCAAGAGAGAACACGACAAACACCTCTAAAGAATACGTGATCAACCAGGCTTTAGTTCATACGTCAGGCTGCGAGCAGCTGCGTCCAACAGCCTGGTTGACCAGGCGACCAATTGGAAGGCCTGTTCGGAGACCGTGCCGCGGGCACTTTGATCCCGAAACCTTTACAAGGTAGAAGTAGATAAGGTAGTACATGAAATAGAGAAAAATAGGTTGGGACTCAGTACATTAGACAACCGACGGTTAGAAAGGCGGGAATCAAGAGCTAATAGCTCGATTCTGCTGGTCCATATAGAGTCAATACAAATAGTAAACGCACACATTTTTAGCTTCCTCCTGGGAAACCTCAACCACTTGGGCAGGACGGTAGAGCAACAGTCTCGCTTCATACAGGTCGGCGTTCAATCCCCGACCGTCTACAAGTGATTGGGCACCATTCCTTCCCCTCCCCCGTCCCTTCAACAATCCTTATCCTGACCCCTTCCCAGTTCTGTTTAGTCCTAATGGTTTGGCGCTTTCCCCTGATAGTTCCCCCTTCCTCCTGGGAATTCTTCTAACCTAATGACCCCACAGCTTCAAAAGCATCGTGTCTGAAACTCGATCATCATTTTCTCTCTTTGCAGACGAGCCGAGTGAGCTGATTGGCTGCCACTACCATGACGTCACTACGGACTCAGCCGGGGTCACGTGTTCTCCCGGGGTCACGTCTGGTCAACTCAAACAAACCTATCACATTGAGGTAATTGTGTTGTCTAGTTTGATCCAATTTGGCATCAATGTTATTTATTCTCGTGGTATATGATTATTAGTTATTTATTTTGTATTTATACGGCTTAAAATTAGCCATCATACAACTTCCTTGATATCGTAATGTCAGTATTACATGCTTCTTGATTAATTAATAACTGGCTTGAACCACTCTGTGATTTATAATTATTCTAATTATCTCAATTGTAAATCTACAAAGATCAAGAGTAACTATTTCTTTCTGTTAGCTAGATATAAGAGAGTGTACATCAGGGATGTTAATGCTCATGTAGGCATACCAGGGAATGATAACTAAATCATCGACACACATTTTTTTATTTTTTCAAGAACACATGAAGATAAAAAGGAAATAAATATGACGGATTTCTGGAATTGTTCACTAATGACAAATTTAGAAAATACATTCGGTTATATTTAATTGCATTGATACAAGGTTGAGATAAAAATATGTTACAAAATTCAGCTTTTCATACTTAGTATATTTTAAAGTTTTTATCAATACACATCTATGTGCATTGGTGTGTATGAGGCAGAAACAAATGGGCAGAGTTTCTTTCACCATGATGTACCTGTTCATCTGGCAGTAAATAGGTACCTGGGAGTTAGACGGCTGCTACGGACTGCTTCCTGGGGATTATTGTATGTTAGAAATATATGTTGTAGACATAATAGTAGTAATAGTAGGCATCCATCAGTCTCAAGAGACTATGGAGTTGCGCTCTGGTTGTCGGTCTGGAGTGGCCTCACTAGGGCGCAAAGCCAGGGTAAGGTTGATGATTGGTAAGGTAGACATAATAGAGGAAAAATAAATTGGTTAGAAAGGCGAGGTCCAAGAGCTAATAGCTCGATTCTGCAGATACAAATAGTAAACACACATTATATGATTCCTGGAGCTCAGGAATCTATACACCAGTAGATTGACTGTTGAGAGGCGGGATCTAAGAGCCAAAGCTCAACCCTCGCAAGCACAACTAGGTGAGTACATACGCATGAACGCTCAAGGGTGAATGAAGAGGATTTATCCGGCGCATCATACATTACACCCCAGAGACCATGAGTAACAAATGCTAGACACAACAGACAGCTAATCACAGGATCTACAGCCGCTACAGCTCATTAACAGCGTGTATTGCACGCACCACTAACCCCCCTCCCCACACACACACACACACACACACACACACACACACACACACACACACACACACACACACACACACACACACACACACACAGGCCAGGCACAGGATACATAATAGGAGATGAAGTACTTAATGAAACAGACAGAGAGAAAGATCTAGGAGTTGATATCACACCAAACCTGTCTCCTGAAGCCCACATAAAGAGAATAACGTCTGCGGCATATGCGAGGCTGGCTAACATCAGAACGGCGTTCAGGAACCTGTGTAAGGAATCATTCTAAATCTTGTACACCACATATGTAAGACCAATCCTGGAGTATGCGGCCCCAGCATGGAGCCCGTACCTTGTCAAGCACAAGACGAAGCTGGAAAAAGTCCAAAGGTATGCTACTAGACTAGTCCCGGAACTAAGAGGCATGAGTTATGAGGAAAGGCTGCGGGAAATGCACCTTACGACACTGGAAGACAGAAGAGTAAGGGGGGACATGATCACAACCTACAAAATCCTCAGGGGAATCGACCGGGTAAACAAGGATGAACTATTCAACACTGGTGGGATGCGAACAAGGGGACACAGGTGGAAGCTGAGTACCCAAATGAGCCACAGAGACGTTAGAAAGAACTTTTTCAGTGTCAGAGTAGTTAGTAAATGGAATGCATTAGGAAGTGATGTGGTGGAGGCTGACTCCATACACAGTTTCAAATGTAGATATGATAGAGCCCAATAGGCTCAGGAATCTGTACACCAGTTGATTGACGGTTGAGATGCGGGACCAAAGAGCCAGAGCTCAACCCCCGCAAGCACAATTAGGTGAGTACACACACACACACACACACACACACACACACACACACACACACACACACACACACGCATTACAGGCTGCGGCGGGAAGTGCAATAGCAGATAGCGCTCCACTATCCACTATCGATAAATTTAACCTATAGGTAAATTTACCCTATATTGATAGGGTCAATTTAACAAGAAATACAGGTGGGTACAAATGTCCGATAAATCAACCTCGAGACCCATACCTCTAGGTAATGCTTCCGTACGAGGGTGTGTGTGTGTGTGTGCGTATATACGCAGACACCATAACAGCATGTTTTGATAGGAAACACGCGGGGAAGGCTCGCGTGGCGTACCGTAAACAGGGCGAGCTCTACGTCTCTATATGTCTCGTGTGCACGCACAAGACCGCTTGAAGGTGTGTGGGTTGTGAAGTGCTGAGACAGAGAGAGAGAGAAAGTGTTGTTGTTGTGGCTGAAGCCTTGTATGTAAGTAGTTTATTGTCGAGCTCTCGGCCTTTCGACTACATGATTGGTTATTAAAATAAAAAAGGCCACTTCGGAAGAGTATTATTGAACAGTTCAACAAGAATTAGTCTTGAATTCACCGTCTAGTTCATAAAATAAACTATGTATACACACCTAAAAGCCCACTTTTAGGTGTATGTACATACAACTCTCTGTGTATATATATAATATTGACCACAACCAGTGTTGTGGTGGGTGAATATCTGCTGGATAAGCTATCTTTCTCACGATTTGAAAAGCGTCAAATGTGAAATTTTTCTGGCTAACCAGACGCGTTCGATCTTAAAGGCATCCCATCAAAAAATATCGAAGACGATCATTTAGAGAGCGTCCATATCAACTGGGGCTATTCATTGAACAAAGGCTTAAAAATTGACGCAGTGATTGATATCGTCGAGAGTGTGGAGCATTGTGGGGAACAGCGGGGTCAAAAGGTCAACCAATCATCTTTCGTAACTAATTCTTCAAGAATTAGCCTGAGATGAGCTGAGTTACTCGTGCCTTTTCTTAAATCTCTACAAGGAAGAATGGAATATACTATTATATTTTTTACATATTATATATATATATATATATATATATATATATATATATATATATATATATATATATATATATATATATATATATATATATATATTGTAAAGGCACCCTTAACACCCCTCCCCCCCTCTTCCTTTTCCCTCTCAACTCTCCCATTCTCTCTCCATATTCTCCCCCCCCCCTACCAACCGAGAACATATATTTTCCTTTAAATATGCGGAAAAAAATCACATTGACAAATTAAAGAATGCTAAAATGCGTTTTCGACCTTCGGGTCGCTCCAGGTGTCATAGTGCCAGGGATCACTCGTTACAGGTGTGGCAGCGAACACTAACCACAGGTATGGCAGGGATCACTAACCACAGGTGTGCCAGGGACCACTAACCACAGGTGTGCCAGGGATCACTAACCACAGGTGTGCCAGGGATCACTAACCACAGGTGTGCCAGGGATCACTAACCACAGGTGTGGCAGGGACCACTAACCACAGGTGTTGCAGGTGTGGCAGGGACCACTAACCACAGGTGTGGCAGGGACCACTAACCACAGGTGTGCCAGGGACCACTAACCACAGGTGTGGCAGGGACCACTAACCACAGGTGTGGCAGGGACCACTAACCACAGGTGTGGCAGCTCTCTCTCTCCTTCTTTACTACCTCCTGGGAAGCCTCACTAGGACAAGGGCAAACACCAGCAAATTGTGACACATTTACTGAACAAAGCACATACACGATACATACACACATATAATAATAATGAATCCTATACTCTATAATATCACAATCAGGTTGCACTCCAACACCATCAGAACTCTATTATCAGCTTATCAAGTGGTATCCTATCTCATGGTTCACCACCTGATACTATCAACCTCCTCAAGTTGATCAAGTCTACATACACTGTTGCACCATCAGCATGATAACATATATATAGAAAATCAGCATTTGAATGCAATAACATATACCAGTATAAATGTTCATTGATACTTCAGTATAAAAAACTCCTTGACGCAAGAATGCCAACAGTCACTCACCTCTCACTGCGTCTTGCACGCTAATGACAACCAAACACTATCAACTCCCTACTAGTAATCCACCAGAACTTCCCCTTCCACCTCTGGAAGTTCACAACCCTAATATCCTTAGGTTCTTCTGGGCTTCACTACCAGGATCCTCTGCAGCTTCTCCAGGCTGCTATCATGAAGTTTCCTTGAGTAACTACGGTGCTTCACCCTTCTGCTAGGTTCCTCCACAGCTCTCTTGGCTGCTACACCATGAAGTTTCCCCGAGCAACTGTGGTGCTTCTCCACCTCTACAGAAGCACGTGACACTCCTCTTCACTGCTGCTTCTCCTCACAGCTCGAGGTCCTCTGCTCCCCTACCTTGGAGTCTCATCAGCTACTTCATCTGCTGGCTTCGAAGTCCTCAGCAACTTCTTCCCCAAAAGACAAACCTGCAACCCATCGACACTCCAATAAAATGTTCCCCTTTAACACAAACAAAAAATATTCACACAATATGTTTGCCTCAAACCTCTATCTGTTCTCTACATACAGTGAGAGTGGACTCCCCCGTTTTGGGCGGGTCCATACTCCACCTCGCCTGGCGGCGGTCCTCACTCACTGGGAGGGTCTTCCTCCGTCAAGAGCCAGGCTCCCTCAGTCTTCCGCCAGCGCTCAGAGGGGACGGACGTCGCTCCGTGTTCCTCCCTCTCCACTCTCTTATTTCAGGCTTTCTGCCTTATTAAAATATGTCTAACTTATAAATAAACATCGCTACTGTCGCTGGGCACACGACCAAACTACAAGCGATCACTATGAACTGGCGTATATCGTGCTTACCACAGATTAACTGATCGAGGGCGCTTTTCCTCTGACGGCGTCTGGTCAGGGCGCTCCACACAGCTCACAATAATGCTTCTGGGCGATTTAATATCTGCTCGTCGACCAGGACTTGAGACCACAACGTTC